TCATTTGCAACTCTTATGAATCCCATTGCAACTTCTTCAAGGGTCATTGGACTTGAATTTTCAGATTGAAGTTTTACAAAATTGTTAACCTGTATCCAGATATTACACTATATGTATAAAACAGTTTTTCAACTAATTTTAGTTTAGAATTTTATATTGTACTTCATTAGTAAGGGCTTCAAATTCTTTTAGGGAGGCTTCTTTGTTTAATGGCATGTCTTCAGTTTTGCCAAATATTGATGGAAAATATTCAGGTAACAATCTACCAAGAACTAGATTAGCATCAGTAACAGTTAATGGACCTCCTTTTCTATAGCATGTTGGTCCTGGATGAGCTCCAGCACTTTCAGGTCCAACGACAAATAATCCTGATCTAAAAAATAATCTGCTTCCGCCACCAGCTGCAACAGTATTTATATCCAGCTAAACAAAAAAACAAAAAAACATTCTAAATAAAATAGCTTGGATAAAAATGAATTATGGGTATGGATAATATTTTTACTTGAGGGGCTTGAATTGTAACACCTGCAGTTATTGACTCAAAAACATGTTCAAATGCTCCATCATAGCGACTAACATCAGTTGATGTACCTCCCATGTCAAAGCCTATAACAGGCTTATAAGGAGTAGTAGCTGTGTATCCAACCACACCACCGGCTGGACCAGATAAAATAGCTCTTGAACCATTGAAACTAAACATTTTTTATTTATAATACCCAAAACATGACACCTTGAAAATTATATTTTATACCTGTTCATTGGTGTCAGCCCACCATCACTTTGCATGAATAATATATTAACATCTTTTAAATTGTTTTTAAATCCTGAAGCAAATCCCTAAATAGAATATTATTATAACTATATTAATTTATATACATAGGTTAATTAATATGAACATTAATAATTTACTTTAACATATTTTTTTATATGTGGAGTTAAATAAGCATCTGCGCAAGCTGTATATCCTCGTGGTACAATTTTTACCATAGGCATTACTTCATGTGATAAAGATACATGTTCAAAACCAACTTCTTTAGCTATTCTTCCTACAGTACGCTCATGTTCATTATAACTATATATAAATACAAAAAAAATATTAAAAAATAGTAAATATATTAATATTATTACTATATTTTGAATAATTTTTTGTTTTAATATTTATTAACTCAAGAATACAAAAAATAATAACCTACTATTTGTACCAAGAGAAGAAAAAAAAAATAGGCATACATATGAATTTTATTTACGTGTAAGAATGCATTAGAGCTACAGCAATACTATTAATTCCCTTAGACCTTAATAAAATTAAGTCATTTTTTAGTTCAGTTTCATCAATTTGTTTTAAAATTAGTATATCTTCACCAGTGACGCCTTGGACAATTGGCTTATCATTCCAAATTGGAGTTAGCTGATCACATTTTTCACACTTTAAATTAATTACTCTACAATCTATTTCCATAACTTCTTCATAAAGAACATCTGGTGTTACAATTTCCTAAAAAACATTTTTTAATCATATTAAGTACTAGAAATAATTATTCTAAAATCCTTACTAAATCAAATATTTTTGGGCGAGCTTGGTTTCCAATATGTAATAAGTCTTTGAAACCACGAGTAATTAATAGAGCCATACGTTCACCCTTTCGTTCTAGAAGAGCATTTGTTGCAACAGTTGTACCCATTCGAATCCATTCTATATAACTACTATCAATTGGCTCACTTTGTGGCATACTTTTTCCAGTTTCCTAGAAAAATAAGTATATTTATTTTAAGATACAATTTTTTTTTGTGATATCAAAGATTTTTACTGTTTCTAATATTCTTCGTATGCCTTCACGTGGAGCATCTGAATAATTAGTTGGATCAACCGACAAAAGTTTCATAACATGAACTTTTCCATCAGGACATTTAGCATAAATGTCTGTAAAAGTACCGCCTCGATCAATTGAAAATTTGAATTTACCTCCCATGATACTTTACTTAATTTACCTAAAATATAATTTAAATATATTATAGACTAGGTATGTCATGCATTGAGCAAAAATGTGAAAACACTTTTTTAATAGATAATTATTGTGGAAAAGAATTAAAAATATTAACATTCAATACCTATATTGAAACATTGAGATGAAATAAAAGATACAATTTAAACAACTGAAATTGAAAAAAAAAATTCATTACGTATTAATATTTAAAATGTATCAATATAACAATGCTTCAAATACTTGTAAAAAAATGTTCATTGAAATTAATTAGAAAAAAAATTTCAAAAATTTCAATGTTTATAAATAGCTCAAAAGTCAAAAATATTTTAAAAATTATACCATTTGCAAAAAATTCTTGTATAAATATTTAATACAAAATCTATTTTGTCAAAACTGATTTTAGTAAAAATACCAGATTCCTTAGTTTTCTGAATATTTTCATATTATTGTAGTAAGTATTGAGAATTTTTTACTTTTTACCCCCACTTCCCTTAAGTACCACCTAGTTTCAATTTTTAACAGAAATCACTCTTAAAGTTGAAAATCGAAACAAAATTGTTTCTCCAAAAGGTGATGACAAACACGTAACAGATTACTTGCAAACAAATAAGAATAGGAATAGGGTGTGGTCGAAACTCAGAATGTTATTCAATATTAATTTTCGTGTAATTACTCAATATAACTTACTGATGATTGAATGGATACCAAAAAGTAATGACAATTATTGATTGTATTAAATGTCAAAAACGTTGTGAATTTGAGGAAAATTATTAATCAAATAGTATTTTGATAAACAATTTATTATTGTTACGGTAAAAAAAAAAGGTAGAGAAACACACGAAATGTTGGAAATACTAAATTATAATCTATATTTTAAAGAATAAGCATAAACAAGGTTTTGTTCCGTCTATGTGAATAGGTACGTCAAGTACTTAATACCTACTTACTAATTTTTTGTACTTTCAACTTTGCAGTCTTATACTCATTAGTCATTACTCTTATCTTCGCGGGTGATGAGTGTTTTGATCAGTGTTGCTACGTTTTGCAAAATTAATTAACGTACAATGGAAGTTAAAATTCTTAAATTACTAATATTAATTTTAGATTCTGAGCGGAGCGATGAATGTATTGATTTTACAATGATGTAAGTTTTTATCTTTAGTTCTTTTTTTGTGTCTTTCTTCACGGTTTCTGGCAGTAAAACTAGTAAAAGTGCTTCGATTTTCTTAAATAGCAGCGTTTCTGGTCGGAAAGTGAATACAGTTGGTGCATTCGGGAGGTCAGAATTTGAAATTCACAATAGTTTTCAAAAGCAACAGGAAAAACAAACAAAAAATTAAGGGAAAACGGGACATTTTACGCAAAACCATTTTTCGAAAAAATCGATTTTGGCTTTTAGTGTAACTCAAACAAAAATTACCGTAGATAGGTATATGAAATTTTCCCTGAATATTTGTGTAAGCATTTTCTATACACCATACAATATTCAAAATATTTTGATTTATGTTGAACTATTTATAGGCAAATTACATTTTCGATTATTATTTGTTTTTTTTAAACCCAAGTCGATAAAAAACTCTTCGCTCAGTCAAAAAACTCGAAAATGTTGTACAAGGTTCCTTGTAAGCTGTTGTTAATGGTTATTAAAAAAAAAGTTGAGCGTAAATCCACAATAATTATGTATGAATGTTTTAACATAGAATTTTGACAACATTCGTAAAAATCATGAAAATGAGCAAATCATATTTAGTTAGAAATTTATAAAAAAATTTTCTATTTATATCTAAGATTTAAAAATTTAATACAAGATTCCTTACAAGTTTGTCTACCTGTATCAAAAAAAAAAATTTCTTCCGGAAAGTCAAATTAAATTTTTGTGAGAGTTTGAAGTTGAAATTTTTACAACATTGGATACCTATTCACTATAGTAGCTATTTTCTTATTTTTTTTGTAATTCAAAAACGAATTTCTGTAGACACTTGAAATTTACACCAAATGTTTATTTCATCAATTCATATACTTGATACAATTTTCAAAATATTCTGACTCGTTTTAGGCTGTTGACTGACATTTCCATTATCATATTTTTTTCTACACATGTCAATAAAATGTAATTGGTTGGGTCAAACAGCATAACAATTTAATACAAGACTCTTGATAACTAGTTACAACAGAAGTTGAAAAATATTAAAAATACATAGCCACTATTTTTTTTTATAAGCATTTAAAGTTCAAATTTTGACAATATTTATCAAGTTGAAAATTGAACATAATTTTGTAGTTTTATGTATAAAATTTTCAATTTTTATAGCTAAGGATTGAAAATTTAAACAAGGTTCCACTTCAGCAGTTTTTTCCATAACTAAGAAATCTAAAAAATATATGAACACTGAAATTTTTGTGAAATGCTGTTTATGACCTTGTACAGTATCTACATAATATGTAATAAATAATTAAATTTTTTGTTCGGCTTTTAAATAACTGTGTATCTATTCATCAATAATATTGTATATTTGTATATTTGTCTTAAGCAATTAGCTTATAAATCGAATCTAAGAAATAAATAACAATGTATAAACGTCAAATACATTTAACATGAAAATCCCAAGTGTGTTATAAGTAAATTATCAAGTTATCAAATTAAAATATCAAAATTATAAATAGGCTAATAATAATAATAAATTACAAATATTGTGACTATTGTACTTTATTACACTATATCTGATAAAAATGTATTTTCTTCACACTTAATATTGTTACTTAAAAATTACAAACTTTAGTTTTAAGTCAATAGTCATATAAAAAAATATATATATGAATAAGTAAATAATAATAAAAATAAACTATGGATACCATATAATATATATTATGCAATTGCTATTAAAAAATGTGGTATATTTCTTTCCTCATTTAAATATACCTAATATGTTTTGAGTTTATCCTGTAATTCTGCATATATTTTTTTCCTAATATATACATTGAATTTCGATTAGTTATTTGAAACCTCCAAATGTTTTATTTAAAGATGATGGTCAATTATTCCATCCCTCTGTTTAGTTATTGGTCAAATCACCATAATTTAAAGTAACATTATGAACATTCCAAATGTGGGGTGCATACGGAAGTGTTATCGAAATTTTCTAAAGTTGGTAATGCGTTTTCAGGCATTCTGCTTTACAAGTGGTATCATTCCTTCAGCTACATCAAACACGGGTAAAAACTAAAAATACTAATGCATCCAACTGTCGGAAAAATAAGATTTAATTATGAATAATTTTATTTAGCCCCCTCCTCATAAACAAATCCTTGGTGCGCCTTTTGAATATATAGCCATACGACGGCAACTATTTGGCAGTGGTTAACAATTAGCCACTAATATTTGTGATTTTAAAGTAAAATACATTTTACTATTTTTACCACATTGTTAAACACAGTTTTAAAATTTTTGGTATATTCACATCCAAAATCTTACAATACTCGGTTTAAATATTGAATAAACAAGTAGTGTTTAGTATACTTTCAAAAAAAGTAGTTGGGTAAGGGTCATTTGGTCCACTACCTTGTCTAGTCCAACCAAATAATTGCCAGTTAACAATAATATTAATTAAAAAATGTAAAATACATATTACATAATTTATATATATGTTATATGTAACAGCAATATTATTATTTTTTAAATATTTATTTTAGATTCTATTTCTATCACATGTATTTTTTTTTAATTGTCACAGAATACTTATACTAGCAATTCAATTTGTTTAAACTAGTAAAAAACTAATAATATTTTAGTTTAATTATTTTAAATATTTATGCAAAACAAAATTTTATAATACAGCACAACTATTATAAATAAAAAATGATTACAAATTAAAACTAACAACAGGTAAAAATATATTTATTAAACTACAGTTTATGATGGTCCGCAGTTAAAAAAGTACTGATAACAGTTTACAAATATAACATAATAAAATATACAAAATAAAAGAAGACAACATCAACAAAATTATCACATTTCCAGAACTTATTGATATCACAACTTAGTCTAAAGAAATCGTTGTATTTATTTATATGTAGCTAATAAGTCAGTAATAAGTAATAATCAAAGTAGTCAGTATTGTACAAGGAATAAAAAAAATGCTATAAAAAATTATAAAACAAAGAGTATTTGGAACTAAATTAATAATTAAAAATTGGATCCTGGTTGGCAATACACATCATCCAATAAATTAGCAGGTTACGGGAGTAGTTTGTTACTACTTACTATCATATTAAAAATGCAGTTGTTATTTTTATTTCTAGTAGCTTTTTTTGTTTCATTCGATCAACTGTCCACTGTTGATTTGGTTAATAAATTCTTCTTTTCAAATATTTAGTTTATTTAGTATGTCTTTCCAACTGTCAATCCATTTATGGTTATCTTCTAAAATCTGATTAAATAAATTTACATTAAAAACAAAGTAATCACAGTTTTATGTTTTAATGTTGTATCATTTCTATTTTCTAACAAATGTTTATGATAGTTTATATGATAAATATATTGAAGTTTGATACATTGTAATATTTTATAAGAAAACTCGTTTTATTTTTTAATTTTCATTATTATATATTAGGTATATGAGAATTTTAGGTTTTAAATACAATTATTTTTATAATTGCATATAATTTTAACATTTACTCTTAACTTTTTATTGTTAAATTATAATCTATCCCGGACATGGTGGGATGGATCACAGAACATATAAATATGTCTTACGCCCTAAGAATGGTCAAACATGTTTTTTTAAAGAATCTTTTCATCACTTACTGGGAGTTCAGACCACAATTTCCTATGGTTAAATAACCCGCTTAACATTTATCCATCCATCTTAGTACCAGCATTTTTAAGAAGACCAATTGCTTTTAGGACTAATTGAGCTGTATCTAAATTAAAATGGTTATATTTAATATTTTCTTATTATTTAAAAAAAATGAATTGCTTACTGTTCAAACTGAAACACTTTCTTTAACAAACATTTTTTGAAGATTACTTAAATTTTCTGAATCTAAGTTTTATTTTGTTCAATTATTTGATATTTTCTGTTTTTCTTTTAATTCCTTTAATTCAACATTGATCTTTGTTACACTAGTCTGTAACCTGCAAATTATGAATCAATACCAACACACTACATTTCATATAATTTAAATCAAACCTAAAATTGTACATCTTAATTATTTAAATAAGTTTAACACATAGGTACATATGTGTGATTAATAAAATATAAAATTTTATATTTTACCTTGTATTAGATCTTTTCAAATTTTTTACTATTTTACATCTTGTTGGTATACATTCCATGTATGTTGATTGTTTTACTCGCTTTGACGAAAAAAAAAAATATTTAATCAAGTAGCTGCAGGCTGGACATATTTTAGTTTTTATGTCTATTAAAATTGGACATTTTTGGTGACGCCATAATTGATCATTTTCCAACGTAGCAGATTTTACCCGAACTCCTGAATATCATATAATCATCAAAGTATCTAGGTATTTCTTATTGCATTTTATTAGTAATATGGATAGGAATAATGTTTACCTGGAAAATCTATTGATCTTGGACCACCTCCACACATTTTTTTTAAATCAAGTACTTTAATTACTTGAGATAGATATTTTAAGCTAATTGGATATTTTAATGCACTGCTTATTTTTTCAATTTGAATAGTAAATTGGTAAACATATACACATATTTCCAACGAACTTTTAAAAATTAATTGTTTTTCAATTTTCATTTTACCATCATTGAATTTTAGTTTATAAAAAACAATTTCATCATTACTAGAATGTAATCTCCATCCTTCTGGTAATACTGCTCTTTTAACATGTATTGTTAGGTCATTAAATGTCAATATTTCATCAATATTTTCCTAAAAAAATCAAGTTTAAGCATACAAATTACTATTATACCTAATATATTGAATTATAATATTATTTAATACTAAAATAATTGAATTAAAAACAGTACTTGAGATAACTTTAAAAGTTTATTCAGGGGCTCTTCATTTAACATACACGATTCAATATCTTCACTAACTTCATCATCCTTTAAATTGTATAGTTAAATAATGATTATTATCATTGATTATAATTTATAGATAGGTAGTATTTAACATGAACTGGTACAAGCTAATATATTACCTATAGTAAATTAGTAAAGAATACTAGTATAATATACACTAGAGACAGCCAAATGGTTAGGTTAGGTTAGGTTACATATTTGGCTGCTTCTTTTATAGTATAGTACATACAACATACTATAGACCCATATAAAATAATATATAAAAACAAGCAACTAATATAATTGGTACTTACAGATACATTTTGAACGAATAACTTTGTCCTATCAGATTTATTGACTTGTTTGCTTGAACAATTGGCATAATTATGATCAGAATTAAAATAATTGACAGGAGATAAAATGTCATTACTTCTCTTATCAACAGGAAGAAAAATGGAAGGAATAATCCCCTTTTTCAAACCAATTTTAATTCTATTTCCGACATCCTATAACATAAAACAATTCAATAATTATGTATTAAAAATACTAAATAAAAGTACGTAGGTGGATAATAATTATAACTTTGGAACACTCAATACAATCTCATCCTTACCACCAAATAATTTTCTCAATATCATTGAATCTCTGTCTTGTCTCTCTTCTCTAATGTTTTCAAATTACATCTGTGTCCTCTCATAATTACCATCAGACATATTTTATATTCTCTTAAGGAATCTGGTATGAACATTCGATTCATAAGAGTAGGTACCAGGCCACACTGGAATTGCGGGAAAAAAAATTTTCCAACAAGCTAGATAAATTCTATGCCTCCCTTAGATGCCCTTTAAGTACAACAATCCCATATTTGGACTATATCTCCATCCATAGGACCTGCATATCCGATCTTTGGCTCAAACACTGGAGTCACACTACTTCACTTCGCCAACCTAGAACAGAAATATATCTCCAACCATATTAACACTACCATGGTGTCACAATCTCAATATTTCTTGAAAATTCATAACATCGTTCTCCCGGCTCTGGTTTCGCCATACACGACTTCCTTCTAACTGTCACTGAACGATTCCCCTCTCTCTTCCACAATGTCTCAATGGTCCATATTAACCACCTATTCTTTATATACCCTGGCCTATTAACACATCGTGACCACCTATTGTCTCTTTTGAACGCCACCAACTTCCCTTCTGATCCTATAAATATATTTTCAAATCAACAAAAAAACATCATATTGAACATATCATCTTTCTTTAACTATTCAAGCTTTTTAATTTAATTTAATATTGTTACTGTTCATATTTTAAGCAACCTCTACTTTCTATTAATTAATTGTTGAAACTAATTGTAATCACAAAGTTTAAATTAAAAAAAAAATATATAGGTATATATAATACTTACATTGGCAACATCCTGTGGAATCGAATATGTATTGATTTTGTCTTCAGGTCGAAAATGTTCAGCACATACATATTTTACAATTGTTTTTTCACAGTTAGCATTACTTACTGCTAAATTCCAAGCCAAATAATTAGCTTTTGTTGCACTGAAAAAAGAAATCTTGGGATTTCTTTTTACACTAGTGCATCCTTTTACACAACACTTACGCATTTTCATTATTTTAATTTATTTAATTTATTTATTAATAAAAAATTATTTGAATAATACTACACATGAGGTTGTAACTCCGTAAAATGTAAGAATTACAATATTTAATCTATACATTATATTCTTAGACTGTATATATCACAAAATAACTGAATAAATTAATATTAATATTAATACAAATTTATTCAGTGGTGAAAATATAAATCTTTGATGATAATATTAACCCGAGGTCCGTACTCACTACTCACTAGACAGTCACTACTTCGCGAATCGCGAGGTTCGGTTCATAGGTACTTTCATAGATATTATAACTAAAACCCTCCATTCTTCCGAACTTCGTTATAAATGATAATAAAATATTGTTATCACGGTTTAAGATGTGATACCAAATAAAACCACCGGTGGCGCTAAAACAGGTTGGTCTCAGATATTAAAAAATTTATACCGAATTGCCGGTGATGTGAATATTGAATATCAGACAGTGTCACAGTGATGCATAGAAAATAAATTAAGTGATGAAAACAGAGAAAAAATCTAAAGTCCGTCCACCTGTCATCCACTGTTGTCTTTCAAATCTTTTAGGCACCGGCCAGTGGGGGCCACCTATTATATTTTTGAAAATATCGTGGTCCGTAATCATTTTAAAAACATGTATTAAATAATTAAAAAATTGCTGAAAATGTGTTTGCAGTCCTCTTGTAAAGACAAGACGGGTTGAAAATCCATGATCTGCAGACTGATCTCTAGACCATAACATTAGCTCCAAAAAATCATATCCATGTACGAAAATTGAAATAGATGTTAGCTTTTCCGTTTCAGGCTCCAGCAGGCATCAATACTTGTGAATTTTTTATTAGAAAGTTCTGCTATCATTGGCGATAAGTCAGAGACTACATTTAGCTTTGGAAACGTAATTTTAATCAGAAATTAACCAATTTTCAAATTCAGGAAAAATACACCATTCTTTACGAAATGTCTGAGCATGATAATAAACATTTTTATTTAAGGTTGACTTACAATATTTAAAGGATCATCCTCAAAATCAGTAGTGTTTACAAAGATGAAAAATTAAATAGGTAGGTAACGAAAAATAATAAACGTATGAAGTGGTATATCTTCAGTGTCTCACTGACGAATGATTATTAAATTTACTTTTGTATTTCTATAATGACAGATTATACTTCGATAGTTCGATTGACAGTTGCATTTCATTGTCAAGCGATGTTAATCTTTAATAGGTAATCTAAAAATGTGTTATGTCAAACAATAAGAACTTAACTGGAAAATGTATGATGAGATTTAAATAAATACTAACATTATCTTTACTCCTTAATCTGACATCAAATTTGTCTTCAAGTTTCAAGTATGGAATGCAATTTTCTTACATTTTATCTATTCTTTAAAACAAAAAATGCATTTATTTATTAATTAAATTTAGGTAATTGTTTGTGTGTCATGTTTAATTTTCTTTGTTTTATTAATAATTAAATTTAAATTTATTCCCAGCTCATTATTCGATCTCAAAATACCAAAGATAAAAGACACGTATTCGAGGATGGTACTAGTAAAAAGATTACTATTTAAAAAAAAATTCTTTAGTTTTATTTCAAAAAATACTTTTTTAACATAGATGAATAAATAAGGGACATTGTGATTTGTAAAACTTCATTAAACCACTTACATAACGGTCAGTGCTAGATTAACCATTAGGCTTAGCAGGTAACCACTTAGGGGCCCCATAAAAATGGAAAAATATTTTTTTTTAACTGTCCATTCACATACGAATCATCGGAACAAAAATCAATATGAATATTATCAACTTTACTTGGATTGTATGCTGAACAAAATATTATTTTATTTAGAAAAGATTAAAATTAGTTGGTTATTATAAAAAATTCTTGCCTATATTAGTTACCTACTTACCTATGTCCTATTGAGTAAGTAGTAAAACTATAGACTCAAGTAAGTAATCATTTTTTCGAAATTTTAACTGCCTTGGCCCCAGGGGCCCACAAGTCACAAATATTTTATCCGACACCGATTTATCTAACCGATAACGGTATAAAGTTAGGGAAAAGGTATGACTCGCCACTCGCCCAACTCAAAATTATAGCTAGGTATTGTCTATAGTTACATCCGTATTACTAAATTCAAATCTAAAATACTTTAATTCAAGTGTAATATAAAAATATTCAAATAGCAAATAGGTACACATTATAATAACTGCATAGAAAAATTGTAATAAAAAAATGTATGCCTACCTATATATCCCGGTATATGCAGTAGCGAAATGACCGAATTTTTAGTGACATTTCAAATTTAGCAATTTAGCAATTTAGCAATTCACACATAACACCCCCCCTCTCCTCCCAACAGTTCTAAAAACAATAATACATTTATTATACGAGTGTGTACAACAATAACGTTACATATTATTATTATGTTATATTATGCGAGACGGCCGAGATCTACTGCAACTGCTGAAAAACCCACGTGACCCAATGAATTCATTTTTTTTTTAAACTTTAAGGATTTTGATAATTTTATTGTTTCTTTTTACTATTATTATTATCATTTTCGTGTTCGGCGATCGCCGTGATTTCAAATCGTCTTCGACGGGCACGTCCGAAGACCTCCGACGGTAGACAGTCCGTCTTCGGCATCCAACGAATATTGTTTTTGACTTAGCGCTCCCCCAACCAAGACCTGACTTCACCGTCTCTCAACCAGTCCTACCCAGGGTACCCTTTGTGTGCGCAGACATAATATACGACAGACCATTTGCACGTTTGCGCGATACTATAATACAACCACTATAATTATACTACAACTATTATTATTATTATTATTATTATTAAATCATCAACGTCATCGTATTTTCGTCGTTATACATTTCGAGTGTTCCCAAAATAATATCACATTATTATTTTTTGTATAAAAATATAATTCAACGTCGTCAATCGTACTATCTAATAACAATAAAAATATTATTTCGGTATAGTGTTGTCGTCGTCGTGCGGACTGCCGTTATCGTCGGCCATCGTCGCCGGACGCCATGAGCGATATTAATTTGTCCATGAATTCGTCGCCTGGCAATAGTGATATTATTAGCTTTCAGTCGATCGGCAATGAGTCGCCGACAGTTGTGACTCAGCGATATTATGAAAATTCAATCCTTCCACAGGTAAACAAAATATTTAAATTATTAAAAAATCTATAAACCATAGACACTAGGTATAGAGATTATATTTTTTAAAGAAAAGTCTCGATTAAACCTCTTGTATAGGTCGCGGGTCGTAGAAAATACAAATCATAGAAAATAATAGATAAAAAATCAAAAATGATACAAATCAAAATTACTTATATTATCTATGATTTGAATGTTTTAAAAGATAAAACCTATGCATTAGTATTACTATGTGTTAAAATTTTAAAATGTCCTTTGAGGAGAATAATTGCAGCTTATCTATCATAATAATTAATAGTATGTATCAGCTTTCTCTATAGATTTGTCTCCAACGTTGAAAAGTTCTTAAGTCATAATGCTTATTATAATTTATAATATAAATAATATACAGTGCAACATTTTCAAAAAAAATTATATTTTATATTATGCTTAAGGGGACGTCAGTGCAATATATTTTGTTTTCTGTCTTAGACACACGCGCAACATAGGTACAATGCTTTCACCTAAAATCGTTTTTATGATGTTTGAGTAATCTTAGAGTAAAATAACCTATTACAAAAATTATAGAAAACAATATTTTTGAGGGTATGACATATATCGGCTTTATATTTTATTGTTATTCGATTTTTAAAATAAAAAAAAAATGTTGTAAATTTAAATGATGTTTAAATTGTTTTGAGACAAATTATACTTTATCGTTTTACTAACTGGGTATTTTACTTGACCATGCTAGAGAATGGGTACGTTGAACGATATTATATCAAAATATTTATTACTCTAATTTGTACGTATAAACATACAACGAGATAAAAATACGGCGAAACTACGATCAATATAATATATTATATTATAATAGTCTTGAAGTCTTCATACAAATATTATGTCCTTTGATCTTCAACCACAAACATAGTATGAAATGTGCTCGTATGGATTTGGTGATGTTTATGTGTACCTATTATGTCATTTTATGTTCACTGTATAGACATCTGTATAGGCAAATTTAAATTATAGAGATAGCATATCAGCATTTTTCTAATGTTTTGAGTAAGTAGGTAATACTAATAAAGATAAATTATAATGCCATATTGGTTATAGTTATTATGTATATTAATAACTTGATAAATACATGATAAAAACACAATTTTTAAAAATCTTACAATGCGAATATGTGATGCATAATATGGATTATTAATTATGTAGGGAATTTAACTTATTTAGATCATTAGAACAATATTATGAATACAATAATGAAACTTATAAATTAATAGTAAAAATAAGAATAACCTATAAGGATATAATTGCAATGTTTTTAATTTTACATTGCTTTAGTAAGTTCTGGATTCCTAGTAAAAATGAATATTATTATATAAATTAATTATGGTTCAATTCAGTGAATTTTCCGAAATATTAATACTAGTATGTTGGGGGTATACCTTGATGACTGTACTTTTTATACGTATAGTAAGCACATTACACAGTTATTGGTAGTTGTATAATAATAATATGTGCACGGTGTACCTATACTGAGTACTGACTGCCAAATAATTAGTAAACTCTCGGTATACCTACTTCTGGTAATATTATTATCGTCTTATACTCAGTAATTAATATGATTTATATTTTTTTTCAATAAAAAATATTAATCATTTTTTTTTATTATATTATATTTAATATATATTATTTTATAAATTTATCCTAATATACAAATAAGGAAATGCAAACATATTACACTCCAATTTTTGCTTATACCTATTTATACATATTTGTATGCATATTATACAATATATGTTTCCACTTTCCAGCTTGTTTCACTTGTGAACTGTTTAAGTATTCGCCTGTCACCACCGGTCCAGTGTAGCTAGATGATAATGGATTAAAATATAATAATATAATAGAATTTATGAAGGGTAATAGGGATTAGGAAATACTTCAAACTTCAAAGATACTATAATTTTAATCTCAGCCGTCCGAGACTTCATAATTTACTTATAGTAAACATAATATTATAATTATATACACACAAGTAAATAACACCTAAAAGTGCATCATTAGTTGAACCTTATAGACAATCACGACTTCAAATGTAAATAGACTTTTACTCTTACACATATGATTTGTTATTAATTTATTATTATTATTATTATTTTCCATAGGATTTTTATCGCCGGCATAGTTGATGACTGTTCAGAAATAATGTACTTACCTATTTGAATAATATAATGTTAAACATGCTGAATGTTCTTAAATTATTGTTGCATTATAAAATGTTTTATAGAAATGTGTTCACGTAATAAGGTTAGCCAGTCAGGTACGCGGTACTTTATTTCTCCATTATTTTTCTCTGATGATTTTGTTTTTGTATTTTCCAATGGTTTAGTTGTTATTATCATAAATTACCATTATAACTACTTATAGATGACAGGTTATACAATTTTTTTCAAGCTAAAGTTCACTATTTTACATTATGTTCATAAGAATGATGTAGTTTATTTTTAAAAAATAAGATTAGTGATAAATGTATTTTTTTTTTAGTCTAGGTGTATTAATCAAAATAACCAGAGATCATTAACATGGAATATATCGTTGACTGATGATCAAGATGAAGTATCTGAAAACTTTTTAAGGATGTATAATGAACCAACAATAGTTGCTGAAAATTTTGGTTCAGCTATTTTAACGGTTCCCGAGAACATAAGAAAACAAGCTGATGAATTATTCAAACCTTCGGAAATCAATCCGAACGAAATATTTGATTGGGTAAATACCAAAGTCTCGTGGATTCTTCCATCCAGCTATCAACGATACCTTAAGTCTATTCCTCCAAACGTAAGTATTTTTTCGTTATACTTATGCAATAATTATTTTCTTAATTTAATTACTAATTAGTAACATACTAAATAATACATACATCGAAGAGTAATAAGATATTAATTGCAATAACAACTATACTCGTTGTAATAAAACAATATGTATATATATATTCATATATTTCGTTATACTAGTATGATGGCCATTGAAATACATTTGTATTCGTAAAATTTAAAACAACTGAACCATTTATCAGTATTTATATTGGAAAAATTCGACGATTTGAATATTATTAATCACAGACAACCCTTATAACGCGTGTTTTTGATTAATTATATGATGGTATTTTTTATTTTTTATTTTACTCGGAAATATAAAATTACTTTTATACCGATGGAATATTTCAAATGGGTACTTCCTACCGGAATAAAAATTAAATTGAAAGTAGGCAGGTATTTGACGTAACACTTTATATACCTATTATTTGATTTATTTGAAAAATGTACATATTGTATTTATGATCTGTATATCAACAAAATCAACTCGAGATGAATTACCCGTCAGAAACTTTTGGAAAACACGAGTAAAATGTATTTTTTCATGTGGGTCGTCGGGTACCTATACTATTGATTTAGAATTTAAAAACCATATTACATATTTACATGCACCGTTGGAGCAATGTGTATAATATTATGGGAATGGGTGGCTTACACTTGCAGTTATATCATTGTATAACAACCACGTCAAAACAATATAACAATTTAATGTAATATATATGTGTAACTATATTATTACGTGATGGTATATAATTATAAATTATAATATTATAATTCCGCCACTGGCGCGTAAATGTCGCGATGACGGCAACGATCTCATATCGCTATAGAATAATTTAACGATGCCACTTTTTCTTTTTTTTTGAATCAGGTGCTGGAGAAGCGGGAAAGACACGTGCTATACCCCTGGACGCAGTGGAACACGTCGACGGGCACGCAGCACCGTCCGTCGGTCGACAGAACCGTAGCGTCCCCGGCGGCGTCCGACCGGTCGATGTCGTCGTCGTCGTCGTCGGTCTACGCGCAAGCAGCACACGGCAGATCGCCCAACAATAATAACAACAACAACAGCAGCAGCAGCAGCAACAACAACAACAACAACAGCTCGTTTGGTCATTGGGTCGGCGGCAGTGGGACGCTAGCAGCGGCGGACTGCACGTTGTCGTCTTCGTCGGCCAGTGACCTGAGCTTTTCGTGTTGGCCGGGCGTCGACGCTACGTCTTCACCGCAACAGCACCAACAGCTCCAACAGCACCACTACTACCACCACAATCAACAGCAATCGCAGTCGGCGGTCGGCTGGACACCGGTGACCGTCCGATCGTCGCCGTCCGACTGCGGCCGGTCAGTGTCGTCGGCAGAATTCGTGCAGTACAACTCCAGCGCCGCGGACGGCCGCTCGCCATCGCCGACGACTATCCGCTGGCCGTCGAGGCTGTTCTACTGAGTGAACGCCAACAGCAACACGATCAACAAGTTGGTGGAACACTACTGCACTTTCTGCTACAAGAACCACGAACCGCCCGAGGTGTACGGCTCGCACCTGGTCCGGGACGACACTCGCACCACTTGTCCTAAGCTCAGGGCGCTCCGGTGCAAGCACTGCAACGGCACCGGCGACAACGCGCACACCATCAAGTACTGTCCGTTCCTGTACTCGAACTACAGTTGATGGACGGCAGTCGATCGCGTAGGGTAGACGCGCGGTCGAACGTTTTAGCGGTTGGCTACGGGTTCGGGTGGGTGGGGTGGGTTATCGGGTGGGAAAGGGGACAGAGGGTCGTCCAGTGGTCGATTTTCTCGATTTTTTCGTTTCGCGAATTTACCGTTCTCGTATACCATTGTGCGTGTGTGTTATTATCAACATAATAATGGTAATGGTAACGATTATTATTATTATTTTTTTTTAAATTTCTTATCTATCGTTCGCACTCACTCGCGAGTCAATAACAATATCGACACTCTCGAACGAGCGGATAAGATAAGTACGATTTTATGCGTTTACAATGACCGTCGCCGTTCGTTTATCATCATAATATATAATAATAATAGTATAATATGCGTGATGTTATATTATATTTAGCAGCCGGGGGGATAATAATATAATATTTACGCTTGTTCGTTGTTGCAATAATGTGCGTCGTGCGTGCAACGTGCACACACCGTGCACCGCGCGCGACAGCCGATCGCGATCTCCTTGTGTACCTATATACCAACACGGCGTTGCTTTCGGTACATTTTTACACTATTATAATATAACAATAATAAAATAAGAATATCAACAATAACGACCGGTGTGGGCCCAGCAAAAAAAAAAAAACAAAACTTAACTGCAACGGATGTGTGGTGGTTGCTTTACGGTTTGTAATATTATTATTCTCTTTGTTATAATATATTGTTCGTTATGCTAAACTTTTTTTTTATTCGGTCGACAAGTCGTTATTATTATTATTATTTTATTTTTTATTTTTTTTTTATTAATAGGTATTATATTTCACGGATGTTTTGTTGCATGTAAAATTCTCCGTGTTAGTGTTCTAAAAAATAAATAAAAGCTCATCGTTTGTTTCGTTCCTTAATCGGCAGGTGAAATATATTAAACGTTACCGAATTAAAAAAATATAGACGTTATTGTTTAGTTTGGCTATTATTAGTTATAAGTTATAATGTTTTGTTTAGTTAAATACGTTCTGCGACATACTTCCTCGTTATAATATAATAATATAACCAACCTATTATGTTTCGTGTGTTGCGTGTTAATATTGTATAGTGCAACTTAAAAATATATAAATCCATGTATTTTGTGATTAATCGTTAGCATATAATATTATAAATAAGTGTTAAAAGTTTTAATTTAATGTACTGTTTGAATTTCAATTTTCAAATGTATTCATATTTTGCTCAATGTTGTTACTGTAAAAATAAGCTGATAAATGTACCGTAAATCGTAAATCGTTTATGTAATATTGTAATTTGTGTAATGTAATTAATAATGTTATGAGTTATTTGTTTGTCTTGAAAAAAAATGTTTAATTTTTCGTGAATAGTATTTCAATATCTTATTACAAATCCTGATGATACATGACAAATAAATGAACTATAATTAACTGCAATGAATATGTTACGAGTATATTGCTATATTATGTACACTACTACACTGACAATCGAACATTGTTCGATAAAACCACTTACATTTTCCACGGACAATTTCATAAGATAAAATAAGTAAAGTTAAATATTCAAAACACAAATAATAAAATATACAATAATTGTTGATTGTATGAGAAATCCATCTAAAAATAAAATGTTTTTAAAAGCTATTTTTTACCCAATCATAATCGTGTAGTAATTTTGTCTGAAATAGTATTATTTGCATTCATATATTTTTCAGTGTCGTTTCACTGTGACGACGTATAATAAAAGTATACAGAGTGATTTTACATATATTATAATTTTAAATACATTTTTGTTATTTAAAAAACTAAATATATTTTTACATAATCTATAGAAACTATTATGACATAATTATATTTCTTATTGAGATTTTCAAGGTTTTTAAAATGGTGATCTTTAAGTACTCGTAGTTTCGTATTTCAAAACAAAAAATTTTTTTTACTTATGTCAACGATGCAATTAAATTCTCATGTAGGTAGATTTTAATTATTTTTAAGCATTTTAAATATTATTAATATGAATAACGAGCTTATTAGGTTAGGATAAGGTAATTTCTTAGGCCTTAAAGGCTAAGAGGGTATCTATATTCTATTTCCACTTGACTTCTCCATAATAGCAGTATCTGAACTTTAAAAGCTTTTGATAAATGAATAAAAACTATTGTAAAATGTTTTGGTACTAGAAGTTAAGTAACATTGATTTCGGATTCATGGATTTAAAGTACAGAATATAACAACTCGAGTAACTCTTACACTAAAAAAAAAATCGCACTGGTAAAACATTCAGGCTACGGGCGCCAATTATTTTTGAGGAGTACACCCCATTGCAGGGTTGTAATCATTTTCGGTTGAAAACGGTCGTAATCACATTTCGACTAGCCCCTGGATGATTTAAATTGCTATATAATACGCCCTTCCTATTATTATTATAGAATTAGATTAATGTACATAACACTGCTACACAACACCATTAAACTTTTTTAAAAAAAAACGATGTAACTAATTAGCATACCTTACCGTGTAATTATATAGGAACGATAATAATACAGAGATAATATTATGACATTCTGTAGGTCATCGTCGTCGGACTACTGAAACTTGAAAAGCTGATCTGTTGTTTCGACTGCGACGCTGTTTGTTCTCGCACCACCGGATACAACTTCCAGATTGTTGGTCTTCGGTTATAAAATCAAGACGAGAAAAGCGTTAAAGTGTACGAAAGTTTACCGAACAAAGGATCCCGATATTGCTGTATTATAGAAGATCAAAGTTTAGTTTTTGAAATTTGGAAAATACTCGTTCTCACTTTACTTATATGAACAACTTATGTCTTATGAGCATGAAGTATGTAGTATGTATACACGTTCTTATAAGAACGTCGTTTAAAGCTACGCAAAACGGCGTGTTGAATAAACTCGACGTTGACGTTAGTTCAAAGAGAATTTGAAATTTCCCACTCACGACTCATAAGTGATTTAAATATACGTTTTCCATTTGGCTATGGGCCCTCCAATATTGAAAAATATCTAAGGGTAGCTGGGAGGGTCATACTGACACCGGGCAGAGTTTCCAGTAAAGAAATGTATTCTCATATCATGCATTTACATGGCTGCATAGTAAGTAAATATTGTGAATTTATGATAATACCGTTTTATGAGCTGGATAGGGATTTTTTTGTCACAAGGAAAATGTCCACACATAAAAATTGCACTACTAATGACACATCACGCATAGCCGTTCTCGAACCACAGAAATAAGACGACAAATTTGTTGAACATATTATGAATTTTTAATTTTATAACATCCCTCGCACTTTGTTTCTCGTTAAAAATGGCATTGGTTTATTTGAGACTAGCTTGTGATAATGCGAGCAGTATATAATCAGATAGGCAAATCCACCTGCAGCTGTGCCACCATTTTTAAACAAAAATGTTCTTCCTAAGTCTCAAAATCCCTGTTTGAGCAACCCTCCGGGCCCAATTGATAATCTAAATCATCCAAGGAACCACTCAAAAATACACAAAAAATGTTATCAAAATTGGTCCAGCCATTTAGGCAGGCATAATAGATACAGACAGACAGACATACATTCACTTATACCTATATCGATTTAAACAATAGTCACTCTCCACAAAAATGCTCATTACATGTTTCCATACATTTATAAAATATTAACAATGTTTTTTTGGAACCAACTTATTGTATACTTTAACCCATACAAGTTTTCATCCGCACGCCGCCAGTTGTATACATTATATTCATTATTGTTTATTTGGTTTTTGTGGTATCATGACTAAATATTTAACAGTACATGACCGCTTGACTTAGATTGTTTCTCTCAGACATTGTTCCCCGGGCATAGAAGTAAAACTATTTCATATCATATAATGGAGTAAAAGAAAAGAAATTTCCATTTACCAATTGAAATGAAAAAACATTTTTTTTTTTAAAGATTATACATAAAAAGTTGTTAGTAAAACTCATAAGAGCAAAAACAGTAGAGCCTTTGTACAGGGCTTTGGGGCCACAAAGGTTAGGGTAAATTTCCCAATAGGCCTTTATCCGTCCTTGATAAAACGCGTATTAATCATTATTTAATTCCCATGTTGGTAAAATAAAACGAATTGTATACCTATGTTTTTTTTTTATTAACAAAGTATAGTATAATACTGGAACCTGAGGTGTATCGCTTGACTGCTTGAGTCCGAAGTTCACCCCCCCCCCCCCATCTCGCATCCAATCTACAAACGAAACGTCACGGCGCTACTTATATACATCAGGATACAAGATTATTATAAATATTATATCGTTCCCGATAATGTCATCATCATAATAATATATCATTCATCGTCTTATTATTATAGTTTTCGTCGGCAGCGGGATTTGGTTATGTTTGTTAGTTTTAATATATTATTGTGAATATTGACCTATATAGGTATTATACGAACATCAATTAAAATAGATTGTTTTAATTTTCAAGCGAATTACGAGCATTCATCATGATTCATGACTCTCTTAAAAATTGAAACATCGCGAAAAAACCGGAACACTGGAAATATTGTAATCTCTAAGATATCGATGTGATATTCACTCAAGTATTATTAAAACTGCAGAAACGAAGGTAAAAGCGTGAACTGCAATTCGGCGAAAAATGTCTCACTTTGACTCTGCTCACACTTGTAAGACGTACCAGCTATACACCAAAATCAAACACCAACATTACAGATGACAGACTACGAATGAGGGTGTGACGTCCTCTCGACTGACCGACGTTTTTCGCCGACGAAATAGGTAACGCGAAAACCACCGGCCACTGCGTCGCGGTCTGCGTCGATGTCTGCGAGTTCTCGTAATATTATTACATCGTTAGAGGTACAACGAATAAAACGCTTCTTCGCCCGCGCTGTTATCTATATCAAATAAAATTGTCGTCGTTTGGCAATAATGATTTATCAATTTGTCGAGAGTAGCGCTCACGATAAGTCGGCCCAGGTGCTCGTGACAGGTTGGGTTAGCTTATACACACGCAAACACACACACACACACACACACGTGCACACACACGTACACGTACACACACACACACACACACACTTAACACGGTCTCGAGTGTTCAAACAAATAATAATATAATGACGATACTGTATGCGCCCACGTCGCGTCGAGCACCGTGTGTTCCGCATATCGCGTGTTTTTTACTCTTATCGTTTCTTCGTCCGCTACCGGCAGTCCGCGAACACACGCACCGACGAACGTCCGCCTCCGCCGTCGACCATGATCCGCGGACCGATCGTGGCCGCTGCTTTGCCGTCGCCGTCGTCCTCGTTGTCTTCAACGTTGTCGTTGTCGTTGTCGTTGTCGTCGTTATCGTCGTCGTTGTCGTCGTTGTTGTTGTTGTTGTCGTCGTTGTCGCTGACGAGCGCCGACCAGACCGCCCTCGGGCGTCCGGTGGAGATCCGCGCGGCCGTCATACTGCCCGCCGAGTCCAAGTTCATCACCACGCTGTCAAAGGTGATGCCCGTGCTGGACATCGCCGTCCGCGACTTGTACGCCAAGGGCATACTCCGGGAGACGGACGTCACGTTCAGGTTCATGCAAAAGGACGACAAGTGCGAGGACATCGAGGCCATGCGCTCCGGTTTCGAGCTGATCATCAACGGTCGAGTCGACCTGTTCCTGGGACCCACTTGCGACTACGGCGTCGGTCAGTTTGTTTTGTAATATCGTCATGATATCATTATGAGTATTATAGTACATGGGTATTATAGACCGGTAAAATATGACTGTGGCGAAAAAATATTGTATTAGTGTGCATCGGTATGTATGATATTATTTGATGAGAAATGAAATCGGTGTCCTGTCTAATGACGTTTCGTTTGGATGGACTTTTCCTCGACAGTTCACATTCAAAGGAACTCATTTGTTCAATCGAGTATTACTCTTCTCTTCCGAAATTAAAAGCAACAAACGAAATTGGTTTTTATTTTTGTACACTAAAAATGCGAGAATTCGTAATTTTGAGGATGCCGATCAGATCGAAAATCGTGGAACACAACAGCACCTCATTAGACTCTGAAAAACTTTTCACCGTAAAAGATAATACGAATAATACGTTATTGTGAAACGGACATATACTTCCCTCCGAATCCAAAATCGAACAATGGCTTAGTAGTCATCATCGGAGGTAATATTGTTTGTGGTCGCGATGTTTCGACGTATCGAGACCATATCCTCCACGGATAGTCATTTTGATCAGCCTCCGACCGGCAGTCAAGGAGATGGAGGAGAACACGCAGTATATAACTATCGTGGCACTAAAACAAAACTTACAAGATTTTCATGTTTTTGATAGTTTCTACCATACGATGTTTACTCGATGACCATCCTCCATCTGATACTTCATATAAATATGAAATGTGCTTATGTTATAGAAGTTAGTTGTGTCGGTACGTTTTGCAGGTGACAATGCGTTTAGGATCGAACCTATTATGAGGATGTCACACGCAATACATAGGTTATATGTGATGGGGTCCGTCTGGGTATCAAACATTTTCTCGAAAGGGTTGTTAACCATTGAAGTAACATAACACAAAGTTCCAATGTCCTTTTCTCGAATTAATAGAAATTGTAATTATTTTTTGAAAAAGTTTTAGTAAAATTTTTTAAATGCCTTTATAATTTGTACAGGGATCGATTGTGGTCGCATAGAAGTTGAACACACCCGTTAACGTCGTAATGCATACATTATAAATAATATGGACTATACATTATATATATTTAAAAAATGTTGTGTTGAAATTTACATAAAAGTGTGATGCAAATCACATAATATGCCCATAAACAAAACATCAATATACCTACATGTATTGTGTATAGGTTTTGGCTTAAATATAATTTACAACTCGCTATACTATAATACTATATTACGAGCACTATCGTGAAAATGTACGTACCCGTGAATCGCGATTAGTAAATTTAAAATGTTTTTTCAAATAGGGTAGGTCCTCGTAAATACTACCTATAGCTGCCGAACCGAGATAATTAATGTGCTTACTTATTTTGTTTTTTTCTACCCAAAAATAGTATTAAAAAAATTACACTTCTGCAAATAAACTCGAGTGTTGCGGGACGTCAGTAACCATCAGTAATTATTTCAGACATTTTTTTCCTATTAACATTGTGCATGCGACTCGTCACGGTTTTCGTTTCGTCAAAAACCCCCTAAGATGTTGGATCGGCACGCCGACGGGCTGCAGTTTATTTCGAGTTGTCGCGCGCCGCCGGAAGTTTTAATTGCAATTATGGCAACTTTGAGCCAACTGCATTGGCAGAGATTAAAAGACACCTCATAATTATTTTACTTGTCTCTGCGGAACAACAACTTGTTATTTCTATGGCACAAACTTTATACTATATAGCTAAAGGTTTCGATATAGACGGCTACTGTAATAATAATACACAAACATTGTAAACGTCGCGGGTCGTATATTATGTAATCCAAAATTCTAAACTTGTGTACGAAATCGTTTTCCTCGAGATTTTAAATTTACAATTTTATGTTTACACTCGTGCAGCGGTTAATGTCGTTATATTTTATGATTTACATACCATTTCTCACTGTCTGTTTCAACTGCATTATCGTCCGTATATTATAACTGCGGAGCGATTATTTTTTGGCGTTATTTTTGAGTTGTAGACATACATGTAATTCCAAGTTAAAACCGTATACAGCAAACCTATATAATTTCGCCACAACACTAAAAAACTAAAATAAAGTGGAAAAGTTTTACTAGTGAAGATCTTGATTTATTTCGATTAATAGAACTAATTAATTTCACGTTTTGTACTGTTGCAGTAGGCGTGTGGGTCTATTGTCATTAATTTGTTGTATACAATAACGGAAATAATCAATGTTGCGTTTGACTTGTTTTAGCCTTATCCCTGATTAGGACTTATTGATTTTATGTCTTATAGTATTTTGATTTTAATATGTTTTCTGCCGTAACATCGTGTCTTACTATAAGACTTCTTGAACATATTTCGGCGGGTTTTCGATTTTGTGATGGGAATGTCATCGTCGATTGCGGATTATTATATGTTTTTTCTTATATGATGGCTGAAATAAAGAGTCGGCTGAACATCCATAAAAGTTCAAATATCAATATTAAAAAAAAAAAGTTCTCAAAACTAATAATATAACTTATGTATTTGATAATAGGATTTTAACTTACATATGCCGTATCAGTTTGTGATCCTTTGAAAGTATCATATTATAAAGTTTTTATGTTTTTTATTTGTCAGTTGACAATATTATAGGTAGGACCGTAGGACATAGTCATATATAGCTATATAAAAAAGTTTTTATTTGAGAGTTTTCGAACGGATATGTGTTTAATTAATTCGTATGAGCGTGTATTCATATAATATAATAATTATGCACTGCCATTATTGCCATCGAATTATACTGCAGGTGTACATAATTAATATGAATTTAAATAAGATTTGTTTTAAGAGTTGAAATATAATTGTGATGAATTTTCTTTAGTTTAAATGCGTATAATTGTGTTCATTTATATTTTTTATTTGATTCAATGAATTTAGGACATCTGAAATATTTTTACACTTGCATATTTTTCAGTTATTTGATGAATTACTTTATTAGCTTAAAGTAAACGAAATCATCTCACGTCACGAATTAATAAACGAGTATAATTTTGCATAATTTTACATAATTTATGTAGTTTAAACGTAAATTGATTATTTTTGTTCCTTATTATATTTTAAATTATTTAAAAAGTAATTCCTTTTATATAATATAAGCAAGCAATTTTCCTTTCTTAAAAATTTGTACTCTAATATTTTCTAATTAAAAAAAAAATTAAATTTGAGCATTTCATGTTTAAAATAATAAACCATTTCAAATATAATATATTTTTACCATTTGAAATGCTAAAAAAGTAGAACGTTGAAAATAAAAGTACTTAACTTTAATCTTTATACCTTACTACTCGCGTTCTCGAAAATCTAGGGTAACATAGGTATTTCTTTAGCAGTAGGATTATTATTGGAGTTCAGCGTGAATTACACAATATTTAATGACATAACACATTATGTTTTATAGGTAGTATACGATTCATCCGTACGTATACTACGTCAGTTTGCCACTAATTAAATTATAAAATAATAATTTATTGATAATTCTTATTCCTATAGGAAAATAGCTAAATATAATTCAATTTAACAGTGAATATTATAATTGCTTATGCTATATTTTATAGTTACTATATATACGTATTTAACCTATTTAAATGTTGATAGTGTTTTCTTCAACCTAATGTCAATAACACAATGTTAACAATATTCGAATGATTGTTACAAAGTTGATTTTTTCAAACAAGAACTACTTTTGTATTTTTTTTTGATTTGATTTAATCTACGACATGTGTACCTTTACATTATATTATTACATGTTTAAACACATAAATTTATACGAATACAATTATTTTAAAATTATGTAAAGAATTATCTTGTATTGTATTGCAGTTAATGTATGGATGATAGATCTTAATCAAATGTTTTCGTTTAATCGATAGAACATTTTTTATTTATGCTATGTGTTAATCGATAGTTCTTTAATATTTTAATCGTAATTTCTCTCTGCAATGTTTGGTTATGGCATCTATTCAACAGTATTAAAATATAACGCATGCTTGTACGATCAATACAATTGTATGATAATATTATTGATGATTGAATTTTTATGGTTACACTTTATCAATGTCTCAAGACAATATTAAAATAAACTAAAACATTACAATCAATTTATATACTACTATTACTACTATATGCAGTCAACACAACATAATAAGTACTATGGCATTTTATAGAAAATTAAAAACATTCATATATTGAATTTTTGATAGTTAATTAATTTAAATGTATTGTAGGTATTTAATTAAATAAAAAATAAACTAGATGTGTTTATTGTGTGTACCTACTATTATTTTCGTGCTTAAATATATTTTGTAACTATATCAAAGTATGTGTTACACAAACATATCAAATGCGATTATCGTGTCCTCTTTGCATTTAGTCAACGTTTGAATATTCGTTAGTAAGCATACTAAGTTGTTTAAACATTAATTTAGGTAACGTGAGGTGGGAAATATATGCGTGTTGTTACCATGGATATGTGCAGTGTGATCTTTATCATTTAAAACATTTAATACCCATCGTTTGTCTATTTAAAAATAAAAAATAAGAGTAATATAAAATGATTGACAATAAGAAAATTAAAACTACCAAAAACTCATCTCTTAAAAAAACACTTAAGAACATCTCTGCGTTTTTGAAAATTCTGCTGTTCACTTATAAAATTACAAATCATTCTTATTTTTTTGCGTCTAGAAAGTGTACCAAGTGTTATACAATTTTTAATAATGCAATTACCTTAGTAGAAAATTATTTTAAAAGTACATGTATATTATTTGATGATTAAAAATATTGTAATAATTATGAACGTATCACACATCATTATTGCATGAAATATGTATACCTACTCATTGATTATTGATAGCGGTTTTGGCGCAATTAGAACTAAACTATTGTAGGAGTTAAAAATATGTTGCAATACTCACATACCCGTATACCCGTCGGGTAGTATCCTTCAGATAAAAGTAACGGTAATGACAAAAAAGGGCCTAC